ATGAGTGCTGCCGGCACTGGGGAGCTACAGTTCATTGAGGGAACCATGAATGCCAACATGTACTGTGACATACTGAAACAGAGCATGATCCCCTCCCTTCGGAGACTGGGCCGCAGGGCAGTAGTCTAACATGATAATGACCCCAAACACACCTCCAAGATGACCACTGCCTTGCTAAAGAAGTTGAGGGTAAAAATGATGCATTGGCCAAGCATGGGCATCCTCAAACGGAAGGTGGAGGAGTGCAAGGTCTCTAACATCCACCAGCTCCATGATTTTGTCATGGAGGAGTGGAAGAGGACTCCAGTGGCAACCTGTGAAGCTCTGGGGAACTCCATGCCCAAGAGGGTTAAGGCAGCGCTGGAAAATAATGGTGGGAGCACAAAATATTGACACTTTGGGCCCAATTTAGACATTTTCACTTAGGGGTGTACTCACTTTTGTGGCCAGCGGTTTAGACATTAATGGCTGTGTGTTGAGTTATTTTGAGGGGACAGCAAATTTTCACTGTTATACAAGCTGTACACTCACTACTTTACATTGTAGCAAAGTGTCATTTTTTTCAGTGTTGTCACATGAAAAGATATAATAAAATATTTACAAAAATGTGAGGGGTGTACTCACTTCTGTGAGATACTCTCTCTCTCTCTCTCTCTCTATATATATATATATATACACACACATTTGTATTATTTTGAAATATTATATGCATAATGATAAAAAATATATAGCAATTACATTATGATAAATAAATAATCCAAATTTTTATCTAAATCTGTGTAGAACTTTGTAGAAATGTTTTTGGCAGTCTGATTAAATGAGTCAATGTATAGATGCTGAAAATGCAGCTGATATTACATCTGCTTTTCTTGATATGAGGGTATATAAGGGATGCTCAGTTGTATACTACACTATGTCAGATTTTCATACTGTGCCCAGTATGAATACCATGGAAAATAATTTTATATAATGCAGAAATAAGAATAGTATGCTATTGAGAACGCAGCTTACTTGTATCACTTGAATACCTGATGTTGTAATAAGGGCAGAGATCCTACAGACGCCCTCTAGTGGATGCACAGCATGAAACAAACACCATAGGAAATTGGATGTTGGAGGTGACGGACGTTGGAAGACCTGAGGGAAACGGCCTCTAAATGTCAGGTGGATTAATAATGCTTCTTATCTGCCTCTTCTTTCCTCCTCTCCGTCCCTCCTTTCCTCTCTCTTCCTCTGAAAAACAACTTTCCTTCCAATGGCACATACTTCACGAGGTGGGAGAGGTTGAACAAGAAGCAAACATGAATGCATTTAGAGCAGAAAGTCGATGTGTGTGTGTTACAATGGGTGGAGGGGACCAAAGGGATGACCTGCAAGTCCAAATCACTGACTAACTACTGACCCTCATGTCCCACTATTAATAACTGTCTCCCAGCTCTCACACACATGCAGGAATGTTGTGTTTGAGTGTGTGCGTGGGTTATACTTAGTTATACTTTGAGCTCAAATAAGTTAGTTAAGTAGACAAAAGACATCATGAATTAGACAAACGAGTCCTAAACATAGTTTTAATTGGGTACCTGCTTATAAAAACGGTCTAAGCATGATCAGGCTAATAATCTGTTAGCTGGATTTGAAGAGGTTTCCAGCTAGTCAGGCTGGGAGACCAGCGAACCGTCTCATGCTGGTTTTTCAAGGGTAGGGTTTGGTTAGTTGCTTTAGGTTTATATAAAAACAACAGATGCCCATGGTATGCCATAATTTAGATAGCGAAGTAAAAAGTGTGTGTGAGAGAGCGAGAGAGAGAGAGAGAGAGAGAGAGGGAGAGAGAGAGAGAGAAGTGGAGGGGGTTCGGAGAGGGTGGGTGAGTGTTGGCTTGGCTAACCGTCTGCGGTTCTGTCGAGGTGCTGAGAAATGTTCCTTTTGGATCGGACCGTGAGCTTTCATACCTCCCTCTCGCTTTCAAACGAACCGTCTCTCTTCACTCTGCCCTCTTGAGTTTTGCAGTTTTTACAGTCATGAATCGAAGACTCAAAATGCATCAAAAGCACTAAAAACTTCTGGAAGCACCGTAAAGCGCTCTGGCTGACGTTGTGCTGGTCCCGGTTTACGCGAGGTGGGGGATTTGGGTTTGAACCAGTGGCAGATTTTTACCCTCTTAAAGTGTGGGACCCGGTTTGGGTTTGAGTCAGGAGCGCGATGCGTCCCGGTGGGACCGCTGGCGCGTGCGCTCCTTTGTTGCGCACGGTGACATTGGCGAGTGTTGTCGCTGTATTCGGGCGGCATCACACAGAGGCTGAGTAATCTCGTTTGGATCCAATAAGTGTGTGTGTGTGTGTGTGTGTGTGTGTGTGTGTGTGTGCGAGTGTGAGAGAGAGAGAGAGAGAGCAAAAGGGAGAGAGGGGGGGGGGGGGGGGGGGAGGGGGGGGGGGGT